TGCAAGTATCAAACTTAGTCTTATTAATTGATACATTAAGAATCATTTGCACCTTTTACAAAGGTGTGTTTGAACTGAGAAACTGATGTTTCCTTCAGGCTGTAGATCTGCTGAATATCAAATGGTACCATAGCTTCATGTTTTTATTTCTCTTCTCTTTACTTCTTAAGCTTTAACCCTTTTTTCTATGCCAACTGTATGCGTGTGTATGTGTATGTGTATGTTAGACTAGTTTAAGTGTTTATGTAGTTAATAAAGTCTTACTTGTATCACACTTGAGGTTGTTCATTGTTTGCTCATAACTGGAGTCCCTAATCATGCAGATTTTTGCTACATGCTCTGAGTAGTATTGTACAGTAAGAAAGTTATTTTCCTTAACCAGGAAATTAACGTTCTTAGAATTGACAGACAGTTGACACTGAGAGGTCAAGTAAATACTTACAGCGGATCTAAATATTTATAATTAATTATAACTAGTTCTAATTAATTATTCATATTTCCCCTTTGAGCTGATTCACTACATAACCAACGTTACCGAATGTTGGTTTTGGCTACCACCGACCAATTGACAATGTATGGATAAAGAAAATAAAAATCACATTCCTCAAAATGTATCTCCTTTTATGTCGCAAAGAAAACGCTATACATGTTTGGAATGACATGAGGGTGAGTAAAAGACAGCATTTTCATTATTTGGAACAAAAAGAAGATATTTCTCTTTCGCTCTATTATTTTTTGTGCATATAAAAGTCATTGGGGTCCAATGTTATTTGGACAATGTTCTTCAAAATCTATTTTTTTGTGTTATACAGAAAAAATTATTGCATAAAAGTTTTGGAACAATGAATAAATGATGACAAAAGTTTCATTTTTGGAAGAAGTATCCCTTTATGCCACCAGAAAGTGTCTTACTCTATCTTAATTTTGAACAATCTATCTATTATTTACAATTTAAAAACAAGCAAACATCCTTTTGTAAAATGTTTTATTTAAAAATATCTTTGTGCTATTTAAAAAAAAAAAAAAATTCCACTTTGTTCAATATTTTTTTATTTTATTTTTTTACAATATTTTAATAATATTTTTACATTCAAATACTGAAAACAACCTTTTTTTTGTAGTTTGATGTACTTTGGCTCAGCTTCATCAAATATAATGAACCGTTATCAATAAAATCACATGAACAACATATTACTATGAAGTAGGCCCGATACTGAGCTTCTGTACTCGTACTCGTACTCGTTAAAATGCCCGATACCAAACTCCGATACCTCACAACATGTGATAAGTGCCATATTCAGACAAAGAAACACTGACAACAGAACAACAGACAGCAGAATGGAGTTATTAGAGGAGAGAGAGAGAGAGAGAGCGAGCGCAATTCTGTTTTGTGATCTTTGATGTTCACTCACTTAGCACACGCATCATTAGACCATTTATAGGGGCATCATAAGACCATTTATAGGGGCATTCACTATAAACATCATTTATTTTCAATTTTAGGCATACACGACTTTCAGGCGAAAGTGAATCTAGCTTGTGTGAAATGCGCTAGGCTGTACTTGTCCCTCTCATTCTGCATCAGTACAAATACCTGCACGCGTTGCAAGTAAACTGTGATAAATTATACCCAAAATTCTTCATACGGTGGACTACCAGTAAAACTGATCAAAAATTTGCGACCAAAAATTATTCAGACCGAGTTTGGGAAAAATAAAGTTCAGGTTTGCATGAAGCTGGGTGACAGCATGCCCAGGAGACTACAGGCTGGTAGTATAAGTGGTTGAGTGACAGATGTTGGTCATTTGTTTTTTTTTTTTAAAAGAGGAAAAAAGAACTCAGGCCACAATCAAACCATCTGGACATTTGTCAAAAGAATGATACTTCCCTTCCAAAATCTGTTGTGACAGTAGAGATGAACTGAATAAGAAAAAATATGTCAGGATCTGTGTTTTCTCTCTTATTGTTCAAATCAACATTACAGTGACTTTGTGATTAAGGGGTGTAATGAGCTCAACAGAGGCTTCTCTCTGGTAAGTCCTTTGCTAAATTGAGAGCCCTGGAGTTGAAATCACAGTGCCTAGAGACAGTTCACATCATTACTGTTTGCAGGTTCAGGGGCAGGCTTGAGACAGTGCGTGAAGCCAAAACACAGGCGATGTGTGTTACCGCTTCCAGCTGCCGTTCATCTTAAGCGCACCGGCATGCAACCTGGAGCAATCATCACCACTGACAGCACTGCATGCTTTGGGAATAAACTGGCATTTCACTGTAAATCATAGAAAGGGTGTAAAAGCAAATTTAGCAAAGGAGGCAAAAGCAAAAGTTTCATTGAAAGATTTTGTAAAGATTTAAAAATAATAAAAATAATAATAATAATAATAATAATAAAATCCTTATATTTATTCATAGATGTACATAAATACATATATCCTTGGTTTGTTTGTTCAACTATGGGTACTTTTGGCCCTGTGGAACAAACTTTCACTAGTTTGTCTACTTTGTTCATTAACAATGTCCAACAGTGTATATACATATATGACAGGAAAATTCCGTAATTTTATTTTCCCCCATCCATAAATGTTATTTCCTCCACATTTCAAATCAGAATTTATTCTGTATTGGAATTGCATTTTAAATATTTTTGCTATTTAGACAAGAAAATGGATGAAAGGATGGATGGATGGATAGTTTTGCTATAAAATGGTTGTCTTGCTAAGGTTAATTTCATAGCTAGCATTTTATGTTTCCTACATACACACGATTACAGTTATTTTATGCATAATTTAAGCATACCTCAAGCATGCACTTCACTGATACTGGTGCCTCCTTGGTACAGTAAACAAGTATACTAACTTTAATTTTGTGAAAATTCATATAAATCAATCTAACACTATATTTAAATGGTTTATGATTACTTCACATTTTGGTTAGATTATAGATCATAGTTCTATTTATGCTGAACATTTAATTTTTCATGGTTTAAGATTT